TCACAACAGTATGTAGGGTGTGAATACAGGGTGCATTTGGTCACAGAGCCCTAGATTTATTCTCCATTGCCCTGCACCTTGTGTAGAGATTTACACCTGTGCAAAATGGCCAGATCACACTGGTGGTCATTTACACCATTTTGAACTTACTTAGTACCAGAATAAATCACTATACAAAATGCAAGGCTTTGGAGAATCAACCCTTTTGTGTTCTGACTTTTTATGCATTATTAAATTTCTTTTAAAAAAAACGTTTTGCATGAAGCTTTACAACTACAGTTGAACCTCATACCCTAGTGCTGTGCTTTTCAAAGTTCAGGTCATAACTGAGTAGTGGGTCACAGAATGCAAGGCACTGGATCACCTTGCTCAGCACCTAGGGACCCATTCCAGGCCCCACCCCGCAGCCTTCACCCCTGCAACTCAACCCTCTGCTCCAGCCCTGAGTCCTCTCCCTCACCTCAAACCCCTCATCCCCAGCTCCATTGGGTCGTGGGCATCAACAATTTTCTTCAACTGGGTCACCAGAAAGAAAGTTTGAAAACCACTGCTGTAGAGGAAGAGCCCATTGCTGTCACACAGGAAAGCTGTTTTCAATTCCTAAGCCCAGCTCCTTGCTTCTTGGTCAGCGGGAACTAAGAGTACAGTATAGTGTATTCAATTCCTGATATATGAAGTGCATCATATCATTTTACAACAGGTCCTCCGAATAAATAGCTAATATTCAGATTGTGCTGATGGGATTGTTGGTGGGTTATTTATTATTATTGGGAAGGGTGGGTTTATTCTTTATATGGGCAGTCCATAAGGGTGTAGTCTCTGAATTTTTGTATAAACTGGTGGAAACCCACCAGAAGCATTTTCACCTTGATGAGATGTTGGCATAGGTGTAGCATGCAAACTCAAACTCGGTGATTCCCACCCCAGAGAATAGGCAACACAAGAAGTTGCTGGCTGACTGAAGATATAGAGTTCCTCAGAGTGCAGGCTAGCACAAAATAGGCAAAAGAGCCATTTGGAGGGTTGCAGAGAGCATCAAGAGACATATAGATAGCAGAGAAAAGAAGAAACTTTGGGTGGGAACGAGAGAAGGAAAGTAAGGCACCGGATAAAAGAAGGGTGGGAGAGGAAATGTAACCAAATCAGAGAAAAAGTAAATATCTCCTTCTTTTGTGCTGGCCTGCACTCTGAGGTAGGTGAGAAGGTTGAATGCAACACAACTTTATGGGCAAAGGGCATTGCACTGGTGCTGGTGAGAGCTGAATTTGGCCCTCAGGTTAGTAAACTTTCATTTAAAGTACTCAAAGTCCCACATTTGCCTTGTTTTCTATATAGACACCTGGGGATCTAGCTGATCATATGTGTTGTCTTGTGAAAAGTATAGGTGAGACAGCAGTGAGGGTGTTCTGATACATCATGGAAAAGTAAGCAGTAGAGATGGTTTCATAGCTCTGACACTAATTGGACTGGGGACATGTTATCTGTGTTTATAGAATACAGACTCTTCCAACCCTCAGTGTAAGAGAATGAGCACAACTGACATTTAACAAGAAATAATTATTTCCTGTTTGTGAAAAATAACAGCATACACACTGTATTATAGTGTGTTATTTTCAGTAAACATGTGTCAGCAGTATGCTGAGTTGATAGATTGAAGCTATATCAGTCACAGCTGCCAGAAAATAAACTTGTCTGTTCTATGGGGTAGCACTGTATGTGAATGATTGATCTTGAAAAGTGTTATTAATAGTTAAATTATGGAACCTTTTAGCAGAGTGGCTGGAAATCAGCAGTGAAAACATGCTGCCTGCTGTAATTAAATCTCTTATATCTTCTAATTATCTGTGAAATGTATACCTCCTTTATCTCCCTTCCCCACCTCATTTAGAAGTAAGTGATGTCCATTGTTTGAGCCAGGTAGCCAAGAGAGTCACCTTTCTCTGTGATTCATAGCAGTTCTGCCAGTTTTGTTTTTAGTTCAGTGTAGAAACAGATGTTAGGACATTAAGTACTGGTACTTTCCCTCCCTGTTTCCCCACTTAAAACATGCCTAACTGCTTCAGGCTATCCCCCCCGACATTTGTTGGGTGGGGGAAGATCTATGTACTATTTAGCTATATCCTTATTATTTATTTGTATTGCTGTAGCCCTATGGGGCCCTACTCCTAGCCCAGGATCCCAGTATGCTAGGTGTTGTACAAACACAGAACAAAAAGTTGGTTTCTTGAATCTATAATGCAAGTTTTCTAATTGTTTAATCATTCTCTACTAAAGAGTGACTTCATCTAGAGAGCTAAATTCCTGATATCCATCACCAATTTCATGAAAGGGTCCAGTAGCAATGCAGTCTGAAATCTAGAGTTAGCACTGTTTCTTTTAATTAGACAATTCCTGGGTGAATATATAATTATACATATCTTATTCACATAGCTTTTAAACTGCGTTTTGGAAGAATTATTCAACACCATAAAAGAGCCTGATCCTCCTCCAGGTGGAGACAGCGGGAATAAACTTTAAGGGAACAGGCAAAGGTCCTAAAAATAAAGTTTTATGCTTTTTCATTTTTATTGTTTTTTACAGCTGTGTTTTCCCCATTTATCAGCCTTTTGGATCCGCTCTCCTCCAAGAATTATTTGTGTTCTTGCCAGAACATCTGATCTAATGTATTTCATTTTCGACCGGTTCATTTTTAATCCAACTTGACTACTTTTCGCTTTCAGTTCTTTAAGCATTCTCTCAAGCTGGCCTGTATTTTCGGCTATCAGCACTATATCATCTGTGAACCTGAGATGGTTTAGCCGCTTGCCGTTTATATTAATCCTGCCTTTCAAGTCTGCTTGTCAAAAAAACAATTCAAGACAGGCTGTGAATAATTTTGATGAAACTGTATCTCCTTGTTTCACACCTTTCTAGATGGGGATTTGGAGGGGAGTATCGAACAACGATATGTCCGTGCTGCAGCCAGAGTTCGCTTCCTTTAGTAATGTGATATATTTTGTGCCGGTGCCCTGTTCTGAAAGAGCTTCAAGAACGGTGTTAGTCTCTGTGCTGTTGAACGCCTTCTTGTAGTCTACGAAGGCAGTGCACAAAGGGAACTTCTATTCCCTTGAACACTCTAGTAGTTGGTTTAGAGTGAAGATGTGGTCTATCGTGCTGTAATTCCTTCGAAAGCCGGTTGCTGTTCATCCAGGTTTTGCGACAGTCTATTTGTTAGTATTTTAGTGAACAACTTATAGATATACGAAAGCAGGCAGATCAGGTGATAGTTCTTTAGATTTTCTCAATCACCTTCCTTATGCAGCAAGATGGTATTGGACTCTTTCCAACTGGATGGTATCTTCTGGATTTCCAGGTAGTGGCTGAACCTTTGGGCAAGAGCTTTCCAAAGTTCCTGACCTCCCGCCTTAAGCACTTCTGCTGTCAGACCATCCTTGCCTGGAGCCTTCCCCTCTTTCATTTGATGGACTACGTGATGGACTTCGCTGATGAGAACCGGGAGTATGTGTTCATCGGTTTGTTGAAGTGATGGCATTGGGACGTCTATATGGGATGCAAACAGCTGGGTATAGAAATCCCTGCTGATTGCCTCCATCTCTGTTCGATTGGTTACTGATTCTCCGTCCCTGTTCTTCAAAGCTGATAATAATGACCTGTACAACGCCAGTTCCCGTTTGCATTTTTTGAGACTTTTACGATCTTCAGCAGCCTTTAGGAGCTTTTCAGTTCGAAATTTCTCAAAGTCTTCCTTCAGCGTTTATTTGGGCCAGGAAGTCAGCATGCACCATGATCAGAAAGGTGAACTGTTGTGCAGAAAAAAAAGCTGGATGGTGCGCATTCAGTGACATCAAGGACATCCTCCAAGGAAAGATCAGCAAAACAACTTGTGCAAATCTTTTTAACTCGACTGTACTTCCAGTGACGTTATATGGCAGCGAAACATGGTCTCTGACAAAGATTGAAGAACATCAACGGTCTGTCACACAGAGGGCGATGGAACGAACATTTTTGGGCATTTCGCTCCACGATCATATCCTCAACGAAATAATTAGGCAGCAGTCTGGAGTGTGAGACGTTGTTGAAAGCAGGCTCAGCAAATGTGGTGGGCTGGACATGTGGCCCGACTCAGCGACAACAGATGGACCACAGCTATAGCCGAGTGGTGTCCGCGAGAACAGAAACAGCCATGCGATCAGCCTCCAAAGAGGTGGGATGATTTCCTAACAAGGAGATATGGACAAGCATGGCGAAGGATGGCCAGAGCAAGAGAAGATTGGAAGATGTGTTGTGATTGGCTCAGTCCCAACTGATGAAGGACCGACAGTCTATGCAGTTTCCCTCATAGATAATGTATATATTTAAAATCACATTCTGCTTCCCCAGGGAGTGGAATTTTAGTGATGGTTCTTTTATTAAAATGTGTTTTTATAAATAACAAAGAAAACTACTAATCATTAAGATTTAGCATAGACTTAACTAGAATCTATCCCTTGACCGTTATCTTCTGCTGCTTCCTCCTTTCAATCTAAAGTCATATTTCTGCAAACATTCTTGCATATTCTATTTTGCAATAGTGTCTTAGACCAGATGACAGCAGAGTTTGGGAAAAATGGGAAATAATTTCAGGCAGAAGATGATTAAGAGAATGGAGCTCTAATTCCTGTTGAATTTCTGTAGGAATTCTTTCCAGAGGAGCCAGTGATATTGGTTGTATTTAGGGGTGATGATGATTGATTATTATTATTATTATTTATAGTGTCCAAAGGCTCCATTTTTCCGGGCACGGTACAAACACAAAAAAGAGAATTCCTGCTCTAAAGGATTTATGGTCTAAAAGGGTGTGATCCTTTTGAGAATGATTCCTGTGGTGGCTCTAAATTTTGAATAGCTGAAGTTCAGACTTCACTATGTTGTGCAATTAAAAAGTTACATCAGAAGGGACCTCTGATCAGTTTTCTGCTGTCTTACCGTAAGCCTTGACTTTCTGCTTTTATATCTTCTAGACCAGGAATTTGACTGTGGATGGGAATTTTGGAATGTGGTCTCAGTGGAAACCCTGCACCCACACTGATGGTACTAGTGTTGGCTCCTGCCTCTGCAGAACTCGCTTGTGTGACAGTCCAGCTCCTCAGTGTGGAGGCTGGCAGTGCGAAGGACCAAGTATGGAAATTGCCAACTGCTCCAGGTACGTCAGACAATCGCAAGACCCAAAGAGATCCTATAGGATATCTTTTTTAAAATATTAAAAATAAAGCACATTTTAAGTAATATTTCTTTTAAACCTTGTCCACAGCCTTCCTATTGCTTCTTGAATATGAAACTGCTTATGATGATAGCCACAGCACCATGGGACATAAGTAGCCTCTCAGACTTTGCTGGGAGAAAGAACTGGCCAAGTGGGAAAAATTAACTTCAAGTTTTGTGAAACTAATTAAGTTGACCACAATTAATATTAACAACAGAAATGTAGGGGGAAAAAAGCAATGCATTTGGTGACACCGACAATTTAAAGCCCCAGAGTTTAGTAATTTATTGGGGCCAGAGATACTTTGGCAGGACCAGCTTTTTTTAAACATTAGTTCTGGCCCAGTGATCAGAAAGAACACATTTTGAGTGCCAAGTCCCGGGAGTCACAACCCTTTAGCACCACCTCCGTTGGACCAGCTCTCAGGGTTTGTGAATACATGCACTAGGGATGGGGAGCAAAAGAAGGGTCCTTGTCTCTCTGCACTGGAGAGGAGGCAGGTCCACCGTAGCCTGTGCTGATAGCATAATATCCTGGTCTATGGCCAACCAAGTCTGGTCTTGCACCCACTTTTCCATCCCACACCACTCACCTGACCCCATACACAGAATACTAGAGCAGATCATTTTTCAATCTAAGCTTAGAAACAAAGTGTTTGTTCTCAACAGTCTTGGACAAGTTAGAGGGTGTAGGATTAGCAGACTTGTGCTGACAACTGGTGATAGTGAAGGAAGTGGGTCTAATTTGATCTGGAGCTCATGTTTCAAACTTTTTTTACACCTAACTCCCAAGTTAAAACTTGTTCAGTGGTCTGTTCTGTTCATTTCCAGCAGTTCCTTCTTTTATTACTTTCTCTAGTCCATTACTTATGCTACGCCAGTAGCAAATACTTTAACTTCCGAATCACCTCATGATATTTTTGCATGAATCACAACAGATGTTATCCGGCATGTAACGGTAGACAAAATGATTCCAGCTGATACAAGATGCAATAATGAATGAGTGTAAATAGTTAAGAAAAATCAACACGGTGCTTACAATTGACTGTAGAGTAGAGAATTGTGAGAAGGAGAGAGGATAAGGATACTATATGAAGCTAAACAGTTGAACAAGAGTTATTAGGTATCTGTTGTTGCTGAAGTGTGGACTTGGAGGGCTAGAATTTTAGAGGTATTTATTTAGAGGTGTTTAGGCATTGCTGCACTCACTTCTGCAACGTCTCACTGATTGAGAAGCCTAAATTTTTAAAGGGATTTAGGCACTTAGATAGTCGATGGGATTTGGACTTCTCAATGCCTAAATCCTTTCTAAAATGTGACAGGCTCCTAAATCAAATGGGCATTGCAGCACTGAGTGCAGCAATGCCTAAACACCTCTAAAAATCTGGGCCTGAAGGCTTAGATGGGAATAGAGAAATACTCGGAGGCTCACCAGAGATATTATCATAGTCACTCCTGCTAACATTACATCATCTCATTTGCATAACCACTCATACTAATAATTGATTTTCAGAGGTACTGTACTGGGCACCCAAAGCTCCTATTGATTTTAATACATCTGAAAATCATGCCATTCATACTAATCCTTACAGTAATCAACCCTGTTTTGCTGTTCAAAGTCAGTAGTTGTTAACTATGATATTTTTCAGGCAGTCATTTTCTGTAGTGTTAAAATTCTGGGTCCATTAAAACAAGGGAAGATTCATGCAGTGCTCAAATAGCAATAAACCATTAGTAAAAGTTAAAACTGCACTTTTTTGGCCAACTATTGAAATGATCTGACAAGTTCAACATTTTTATCCTGTTGTAGAATTGAACCAGTTGAGCTTTTTAATTTTTGAATCATTTCCCAATAGAGTAAAACAATTTGTATTATATTAACCTTAGTATTCTTTTTAAATGTTTATAATGAAATCTCAAGATCATAACATTGTTGAGTTTGATTTTTGTTGAATTTCTTATCTTTACAGCAATTTTCAGGTGTGAAAAAACCCAGTGGGATACTATAATGCATTGATTTCTTTAGGGTTTAAAATTTCTTTCCAGACATTTGTCATGATACTGTTCATATTGAAGTCAATAGGAGTTAGCCACTGACTTTAATGGGAACATGACTGTGCCTTCTAGGGGTTTACAAGTATTAGAAATCCGTATTGATTCTGTTAGCTCTATCAGCACCTTTTGGTACTCTTACCCATAAGGTATTGTTATCTTCTTTGAGGATTTTGTGGAATTGTGAGCTCATGTAATTGTCTCTTCTTGAAATCTTACTTCTTCTGGAACTTGATTTTTTTTCTTTTTGTTGTTTAAAATTATCTTTTTCTCTTATTTTTTAAACAGCAGAGGAAGGGCATGAACTTGAAGTTTTAAATCTTCCTTAAAAGACATGCTATAAATAATGTGGACTGTCTAACTGAGCAGTTCTCAAACTTCATTGCACCGCAGCCCCCTTCTGACAACGAAAATTACTACATGACCCCAGGAAAGGGGACCGAAGCCTGAGCCTGCCCCAGCCCCACCACCTGAGCCACATTTCCTCGGGCAGGTTGGGGGGGGAAGTAAAGCCAAAGATCAAGGGCTTCAGCCCCAGATGCAATGCCTGTAAACTGAGTCCTGTCGCCCAAGGCTGAAACCCCTGGGCTTTGGCCCCGGGCGGTGGGGCTCCGCCTTTGGCTTCAGCCCCTGGCCCCAGCAAGTCTAAGGTTAACCCTGGAAACCCCATTAAAATAGGGTTGCTGCCCACTTTGGGGTCCTGACCCACAGCTTGAGAACTGCTGCTTTAACCTACTTGAGCAATATGTAATTCAAAATTATCTCCAAAAAGTTAATGTGGGCATTTAAATATTAAATGTATCCAGAATAAATTAACTGAGGAAAATTGAATTCCAATTTCTGTTGTTTGTGTTTTGGATTCTGAAATAATGTAGGAGAATGTCAGATTGCCCATAGGACTTTGTGGGTTTTATATTTGTTTGGTCATTGGGCCCATTTTAGCAGCAACATATCATATAGACCAGGTAGAAACAATGGGAAAAACAAGTATCAGAGGAACTTCTTTTTTCCACCAAGTGTTCTTCTGGAAGTTTAACTCCATACAGAATTAACTATCTCTGCAAATATTAATGGGCCAAATTCTGTTCTCAGTTACACCCATGTAGCTGCTCACTGTATATTATAACAGATGACAGAGCCAAGGCTTATTATTCTACTAGAAATGGGGGCTGGACTCCATGGACTTCCTGGTCACCCTGCAGTACCACCTGTGGAATTGGTTTTCAAGTCCGCCAGCGTTCATGCAGCAATCCAACTCCTCGGCACGGGGGCCGCGTGTGTGTGGGACAGAACCGTGAGGAGAGGTGAGTTAACTTTTCTCCACTGCCTGTTTTAATTTTTTCCATTCAGGTTTTCATGTTACATTTTTCTCTTTTACCTGCTTTCTCTTCCTTTTTTAAAAAAATTCCCAGTACAATCTCTTACTACAATTACTATTAACAAGGACATGGACTTCAGCAGTGCATTCAGTTTTCACTTATCTGAGTCCTTCCCGAACCGACTGAGCTCCCAGCAGTACTACTCAGCTGATTGTGTTGAGGCACTCCTCTCTACTATCCCTTCAGACTCTGAAAATTGATTGTAATGTGATTGAATTGCAAGTTGACCAGACTCAAAATCTGCAGTAAAGTGTTGTTAGATCACAGCACTGCATTACTGGTGGACTAAGTTCAATTTTTATATCTTAAATAAAATTAAGCATCAATACAGCAAGTGGGAAAGTTTTAATGGTTTTGTTTGTATCTAATAAATATACACCATACTGGAATCAAATATGTTCTTTAGTAAGTAAAGCTGAAATTGTTTGTGTGTATAGGTTTCAGAGTAACTGCCGTGTTAGTCTGTATTCGCAAAAAGAAAAGGAGTACTTGTGGCACCTTAGAGACTAACCAATTTATTTGAGCATCCAATGAAGTGAGCTGTAGCTCAAGAAAGCTTATGCTCAAATAAATTGGTTAGTCTCTAAGGTGCCACAAGTACTCTTTTTCTTTTTGTGTGTATATTAACCTCTAAACAGGTTTCAGAGTAGCAGCCGTGTTAGTCTGTATTCACAAAAAGAAAAGGAGTACTAGTGGCACCTTAGAGACTAACCAATTTATTTGAGCATAAGCTTTCGTGAGCTACAGCTCACTTCATCGGATGCATTCAGTGGAAAATACAGTGAGGAGATTTATATACACACAGAACATGAAAAAATGGATGTTTATCATGCACACTGTAAGGAGAGTGATCACTTAAGATGAGCTATTACCAGCAGGAGAGTGTGGGGGGGAGAAAACCCTTTGTAGTGATAATCAAGGTGGGCCATTTCCAGCAGTTAACAAGAATGTTTGAGGAAAAGTGTGTGTGGGGGGAGTGGGAATAAACAAGGGGAAATAGTTTTACTTTGTGTAATGACTCAACCACTCCCAGTCTCTATTCAAGCTTAAGTTAATTGTATCCAATTTGCAAATGAATTCTAATTCAGCAGTCTCTCGTTGGAGTCTGTTTTTGAAGTCTTTTTGTTGAAGAATTGCCAATTTTGGGTCAGAAATCGAGCCCCCCCCCCCCCCCCCAGATGTTCTGGTTTAACTTGGATTTAAACTTGGAGAGTGGTCAGTTTAGATGAGCTATTACCAGCAGGAGAGTGAGTTTGTGTGTGTATGGGGGTGGGGGGGGATGTGAGAAAACCTGGATCTATGCAGGAAATAGCCCGACTTGATTATGTAAAGAGTTGTCACTTTGGATGGGCTAGCACCAGCAGGAGAGTGAATTTGTGGGGGGGGGTGGACGGTGAGAAAACCTGGATTTGTGCTGGAAATGGCCCACCTGTTGATCACTTTAGATAAGCTATTACCAGCAGGACAGTGGGGTGGGAGGAGGTATTGTTTCATATTCTCTGTGTGTATATAAAGTCTGCTGCAGTTTCCACGGTATACATCTGATGAAGTGAGCTGTAGCTCACGAAAGCTCATGCTCAAATAAATTGGTTAGTCTCTAAGGTGCCACAAGAACTCCTTTTCTTTTTTCAGAGAGATTAAAGTGTTCTCCGACTGGTTTATGAATGTTATAATTCTTGACATATGATTTGTGTCCATTTATTCTTTTACATAGAGACTGTCCAGTTTGACCAATGTACATGGCAGAGGGGCATTGCTGGCACATGATTGCATATATCATATTGGTGGATGTGCAGGTGAACGAGCCTCTGATAGTGTGGCTGATGTGATTAGGCCCTATGATGGTGTCCCCTGAATAGATATGTGGACACAGTTGGCAACAGGCTTTGTTGCAAGGATAGGTTCCTGGGTTAAACACTTCAAGTCAGCTTTTAACTTGGTCTTTTATTTCACAGTTCGTTGCTTCCCCCAGTACTAGATGTTTTGTCATACTACCTCAAAATGTAGTTTGGTCTTTTGATTCCATCATTCACACATCTAAGAGACTCCAATTTATTATTACCTTCCATGAATCCCAACAAAGAAATGAAACATTCATTTTGTATATATATTTAGACAGACTACTGCATTGACATGTATTATCTTGTTTCCAGGGGCATCCTGTCAGCTTCAGAAGAAATAGCAAGCTGCGATACAATCATGTAATAGTGTTTAAAATTCTGAGTGCATGAGCCATCAGTTCCAAAAAATGTATAAGGATCTATTTTTTCTTGGATGCACACTTAAAATTTGCATTAGTGTTCCTGTAAGGTACACTCACAGAAGCAAGGGAAAACTGAATTTTTTTCACTGAATCTGCATCTTTCCAGTGATGTAGATAATGAGAAAAATTAGGTTAGCAAGTCATTCCAGTGGACCAATGTTGCACACCACACTGCTTTTTTCATAGAAATTCTAGGAATCTGCCCATGTAACACAAAATTAAGAGGGCGAGTGTCCTAGAAAATGTGCACACTTCTGGCTATTTCAGAGCAATGCATATTTACCATTCTTTGGTCAAAAGGCCAAGATTTTTATATGCTGTAATATACTCTCGGCAGATAGGTTATCCAAATAAAAAGCTGCCCCCAGCAAATATGGAACTTTAACTAAAATCTCATAGCTCTCTGCCAGCCTGAACACCAGTTATCAGTTTTGTTGAGATAACTGGTCAGTACAGCGCAAAAGAAAATCTGAGTGAGTTTATATTAAAAAGGAGTTGAGATTTGAGTAAAATCCACAGGGTGAGTTTTGGTTAAGTATTGTGTCATTTTTTGTATTCTAATTGTCACATGGATTAAAGGATAAATAGACATTTTAAAGAACAAATAGTAATAGGTATATATCATGGGGGCTCGGCATGTCCAGCATGGGCCGCCCTCATTTACGCAGTTCAGGGTTGATACACCTCATCACAGAGTCATCGAGAATCTCTGCTCAGTCAAGCTATCACAATCAGGAACTCTGGACCCATGGGCAGGGCAGAGAAAACAATCAGTCTATGGCCTCTGGGACTCCTGGCTGGGACAATCAATAGCAGTTTGGGGGCCCTAATCCCCTGGGCGGGGAGGAGTAAACAAATAGTCTGTAACCCCTGGGGCGTGACAGCAAACAGTCTGTATCAAGAGTCCCTGATAGTCACATATAGTGGCAAGTGCAGGGCAGTGGTAGGGGAACCCAGACCCACCCTACTGCACCGGGTTCTGACCCAGGGCCCTATGAAGCTGGTAAACTCCCTATTAAGGATAGAGGCATTTGCTCATAACATGTTCCCTAGTAGATGACGTGCCTCCCTAAAGGGGAAGACAAGTCACCTCCCCACGTGTCTCCTCCCCCCTCGCTCTCCATATCCCCTCCCCACCCCACATTACCCGCATGGGGGAGAGGGGTTCTATCCTCCCGCTGCACCAACTTGTGACCCTCCCCTTGCAGCATGTTCAGCTGCTCTCCCTGGAAACCAGGCCCGGGCAGGCAGTGGGATGGAGCCGCTCCTGGTTGCTAATCTGTGCAGCGTAGCCAGCTACCTCAGAGAGAGCCTGGCTGGGGAGGGGCGGCAGTGGCAGCCCACTCCCTGCGCAGGCTTGACTTCCAGGGACAGTGGCCGAGCATGCTGTGGGGAGGAGGCACCAGCTCGCTTGGCTGCTGTCCCTGGAAGCCAAGCCCTGAACAGGGGGTAGCCCACTGCTGCCGCCGCCAGTTGCTCTTCCAGGCAGCTGCTGTGCTGTACCGGGCAGCATCCCAGCGTGGCTGGAAGAGGTTCTGGCCCCGCCCCTTCCATTCCCCACCTGGGAAGGCTGCTGGGGGCGGGGAAGGGCACTTGACCCTGCATGCACCCTCAACACATCGCCTCTTCCTACCATAAAGCCCATCTTGGGCATCTCCTCGGCTGGCAGTGGCTTGGCGTTCCCATCAGTTTCTGCAGCTGGCTGTTCCTCCACAGCGTTGTCCAGGTCCATGGCCTCAGTAGTCTGAAGATTCGATGGTTCCTCTGCAGGAACTTGCAGCACACGTCCTTTCTCCTCCTCAGCCAGTTGCTACTGAGCTGAGTTGACTCCTTTTATCTGTCCCTTCCACCTGGAGCACACACAGCGAGGGAGAGGGGGCGTGGTCTCCTGAGCCCACAATGATTGGTCAGCCCCACTGGCCCAGTGAGTGGTCAATAAACCCTGTCACAGTATAGAAAATAAGAAATTATTTCAGTGAATCAGAAATTAAATGCTCACTATTGAGACAGTGGGTACTCTAGAAAAGCACATTGTAAAAAGGGCAATGATATATGGAATACTTCAGAAAATAAATAATATTAAATTACAAGGTCCAGATGGTGGTATTGAAGTGCTCTGAAGGTTCAAAAGATTGAAGTAGTTGAGTTACTTTAAAAAAAAGTAAAAACAACAAGGAGTCCTTGTGGCACCCTAGAGACTAACAAATTTATTTGGACATAAGCTTTCGTGGGCTTATGCTCAAATAAATTTCTTAGTCTCTAAGGTACCACAAGGACTCCTTGTTGTTTTTGCTGATACAGATTAACACGGCTACCACTCTGAAACCTTAAGAAAAAGTATAACAAAATCATTTGTAGAGCTACTTTTCCAGACGACTGAAGTACAACCTCACTTCATTCCCCAGGACCACCTTGGTACCAGGAAAAGTAATTGAGGAAATCATTTTAGAGCTATAATGCATCTTAAAGAGCAAAGTATACTAAGGACAAACCAGTGTTAGGTTTTGTAAAAATAAAACTGCTTTCCTTGTATCTTAGAATTTGTTGAGCTGGCAAAAGAGTGAACACAGGAGAACCAGTGGATATAATGGGCTGGATTTACCACTTAACTCCAGTACCAACTGAGTTACACCTGCATAAAACTGGAATAATGCATTGTTAAATTAGGCCCAGATGTTTAGGAGTGCTGAGCCAATAATTCACAACTAACAATTTACAAAGAAAGAGTAACTTTTTTTCCGGCTTCCAGAACAACAGCAAGGAGGTTCTGATTTATTAGGTAAATTGGAAAAGAAGGGGATCAATATGAAATTTGAAAGGTGGATAAGGAACTGGTTAAAGGGGAGACTGCAACGGGTCATACTGAAAGGTGAACTGTCAGGCTGGAAGGAGGTTACTAGTGGAGTTCCTCAGGGATCGGTTTTGGGACCAATCTTATTTAATCTTTTTATTTCTGACCTTGGCACAAAAAGTGGGAATGTGCAAATAAAGTTTGCGGATGACATGAAGCTGGGAGGTATTGCCAATACAGAGAGGGCCCGGGATATCATACAGGAAGATCTGGATGACCTTGTAAACTGGAGTAATACTAAAGGATGAAATTTAATAATGAAAGTGCAAGGTCATGCATTTAGGGATTAATAACAAGAATTTTTGTTATAAATTGGGAACACATCAGTTGGAAGTAACAGAGGAGGAGAAGGACCTCAGAGTATTGGTTGATCACAGGATCACTATGAGCCGCCAATGTGATATGGCCGTCAAAAAAGCTAATGCAGTCTTGGGATGCATCAGGCAAGGTATTTCCAGTAGAAATAAGGAGGTGTTAGTACCGTTATACAAGGCACTGGTGAGACCTCACCTGGAATATTGTGTGCAGTTCTGGTCTCCCATGTTTAAGAAGGATGAATTCAAACTGGGACAGAGAAGGTCTACTAGGATGATCCGAGGAATGGAAAACCTGTCTTATGAAAGGAGTCACAAGCTTGGCTTGTTTAGTCTAACCAAAAGAAGGCTGAGGGGAGATATGATTGCTCTCTATACATATATCAGAGTGATAAATATCAGGGAGGGAGAGGAATTATTTAAGCTCTGTACCAGTGTGGACACAAGAACAAATGGATAGAAACTGGCCATCAGAAAGTTTAGACTTGAAATTAGATGAACATTTCTAACCATCAGAGGAGTTAAGTTCTGGAATAGCCTTCCAAGGGGAGCAGTGGAGTTAAGAGACATATCTGGCTTCAAGACTAAGCTTGATAAGTTTATGGAGGGGATGGTATGATGGGATAGCCTAATTTTGGCAATTAATCGAGCTTTCACTATTAGCGGTAAATATGTCGAGTCACCTCTGATGGGACTCTAGAGAGGGGCATCTGAGTTACTACAGAGAATTCTTTCCTGGGTGTCTTTCTGGTGAGTCTTGACCATATGCTCAGGGTTTAGCTGATTGCCATATTTGGGGTCGGGAAGGAATTTTCCTTTGTGTGTATGTGTATGTGTGCCATTCTCCCTTCTGCCCTCGTCACTGCTGTAGACAGTCTGTGCTGAGGGCAGCAGTTACACAGATCTTAGTTTCTTACATTGCTTGTTTTGCTGAATTACTGTATAGTGTAAGCCCTCTGGGTCCTGGGAAAAAAATTAAAAGGGAGAGAGAGTGTGTGCAAAAGGCAATAAGAAGTTACTGGCTAACTTGAAATGCAGCCGGAAAGAGGCTTAATAAAACGTGGCTCAAAACCTCTTGCTACAACACAGTTCCCAGATTTGCCCCTGTAATTGATCTTTAAATATAAAAACATATCTGATGATTTTGGAGCTTGGCTGGCTGAGGTGAATCTAAGACTTGTGTGCTCTGATATTTTCAGAAGGGGAGAAAAATGCAAACCCAGCTCTGTGGCTGATTTTGCTTTATTAAAAGTTAAGCAGATTGTATAAGTACTTTGTGATTTTTGTAGCTTCAGATATATCTTTAACTGGACTTGACTAGCAGAATTCCAGCATTCCTAACCTTTCAAATACTTCGAGTATCAGCTACAAAGTTAATTTGGTAAAGTCTTGTTTCTCCCCTGTGCTTACTTGAGAGAGAGCAAGAAACATGACAAGTTGACATTTGAAAATGGGACTTGGTATTAAAAAAAAAAAGGCACTTCATTTATAACACATTTTATGTGACATGAACCTATAACTTCTTGGCTTCATGTCAAAGATTCATTTTATTGTATGTCTGTGTCTCAAACTTCATTACAACCACTCTACTAAGAGCAGGTGGAATACTGCAAAAAATGCGTGCACGTTGCTTTGAATAATAAAAGTATGAAATTTCTTCTGTCATCATATGTGATCCCTTTTACTCTATTCTCATGAACATTCATATTAGCAAACTTTTGTTCAACAATTGATCACAGAGAAGAGTGTCACAAACATGCATGCAAATGTGCGTGTGTGACTGTTTTCGCACAGAGAATGTTTGTAAATCCATTGTGAACATTCTGAGGGTTTGGAAGCTATCAGAGCAGAACCCCATGATGTGACTTAGGTGACCAATTACAGTGTGAACAGTAAATTACTAATAGTGAATATTCAAAGAAATAGGTGAATAGTTTATAAACAGTACACAGGCTGAAATATGTTTGGACAACCCATTTCTTGATAATTTGATTTAGCAAATACATACAAATAGGAGTTTTTCTCAGATAATTCTCAGAGAAGCGGGGGAGGGGGGGGAGAAGTCTCAATTAATCAAATGCATTATGTGCTGTGAATAGTTTGCCCTGCTCTACGTACACATAAAACCAGATTTTGGTCTCATTTTTCGCATGCAACCTTGTTAGTTTCAGTGGTGTTGCACTGGCCAGAAAGCAAACTTTACTCTCTGAAGCAGAATCCCACATTTAAGATAAACCTACATCTACATGTGCAGTACAAACACATACATACATACATACATACACAGAGCAATTGGTTCTAAACATTCAGAGGGCTTGTCTAGGTAAACAATTAGTGCGCAGCACGCTGGGGTGTAAACCTACAGTATACTAGCTTGCCACTTACTAACTTCCTGTGTGGATCCTGCTACTGTGCACTAAAAGGTACCTAGTGCTTTTTGATCTGTTCCACTTTGAAATGAGAGTAGGCCATTGCGAACTAGGGAACTATTAGTGCACAGTAGCAAGGTCTACACAGACAGTTAGTCTGTGTGGCCAAACTAGTGCACCGTAGATTTACACCCCAGCTTGCCATGCACTAACTATTCATCTTGACAATCCCCAATACTTTAGTAATAAAGAATTATAGGTTGAGGTGTTTAGGGATTTGTGAAAGAAAGGTCACTGCCACTGATGCTATTGAAGACAACAGTAGATTTGTAACATCACTATTTGTATTCAAGTATAAAAAAAATGAGATCGAAATATTAATGTTAATTTTCATGGCAGGACAGTATAAATGGATAGAAACTTGTTGAGTGGGTAAAGGGAAAATAGATAGTAGATAACCAGTACATCAACAGTAGGAAGGAAGTGAGGAAGGAAATTGTGTCCTGTATGATTTTGTTCAGGCCGGACAAAATCCATGGAGTAGAATTTGGCTTCTCCCTTTGGATAGCTATCTGGTCTTCTGATTCGGGTTGTTTGTAGCCCACTGGGAAAACCTAACTAGGTTACAATGATTAGAAACACACTTTAGAGGTAAAAGCAATAACATAATCAAAACACCATAGTATTCCTATGCTTAGAATCATGTTTTATCTCTTATTTTATCTATAACATTAACTACACTGGGACAGTTGAAAAGCAAACTCAGCTATATTTGAATTGGAAAAAGAAAGCTTGCTTCTTCTAGAAAAGTAATGCCAGCATAGACGTCTACTTACCTAATCCATGAACCAAATTCTACCCTCAGATATCTGTGTATGTTACTTCTACAAAAGTAGTGATTGATCTAACTACTATGGTAAATAATATACTACCAGTACAATAGAGTAGGTACATTAAATAGATTGTAGAAAGAGATTAGACAATGAAGAAAATGCTACACCCACAGTATTATAAAATACAATTCCATTAATGGTTATATACTATATATACTTGTGACTTTTTTTTTTTTTTAAAAAAGGGTTCAACAAATAAATATAAGGCCATCAGTGTAAAACATTTCCATATGCAAACATCTTTCTAAATAATGGAAAATGTAGAAGTTGGAGACCTTTTGTTGTACTAAATAGTTTCTTTTCCCTCTTGCTTTCCCTTGTCACAGATACTGCAATGAGCACTTGCTGTGCCCTCCACATATGTTTTGGACAGGCTGGGGTCCGTGGGAACGTTGCACTACCCAATGTGGGGGAGGGATTCAGGCTCGTCGCAGGATGTGTGAGAATGGCCCTGACTGCCCTGGCTGTAATGTGGTGAGTCGCTTCTATGCCTTCCCATCAACAAATACTTGCATGTTTTGCAAACATTTTGATTCATGAGTGTGTATTTATAGCTGTATTGTTTTTATTTTACTGAGAGAAATTCATGTTTGCAAGTTAGAGGATGCTGTTATACAACATGAGCTAGATGAGAGACCTCCTAAAGGAAAGTTGTTACAGATGGGGATTTGTCATAGGCATATTTATTTTGTTTGTTGCAAACTAGGAGAAAAATATGCTCACTTTGTTCTAGTCAGAATTCTGTAAAAGTAGAAGAGGAATATGGGTCCTCGCATATTGGACCAATTTTTAAGTTTCCTAAGTTCAGAGGATAAACTTGATAATTGTGAAGTTTGTCATTCATTGACCGTTACCTTTTTGTTAGACCACCAGAAGGCCTGTTCAAAACATAATAAAAGGTAATTTATAATATTTTTGTTTTGTTTTTTCATATGTCCTTACTCTGTTACTTTTGACATTTATGCCACAAGTGAAATTTCACTTTTGCAAGCAGATTGAACACTTTCAAAGGGTTTCTTCTCTTTCCTTGACTTATCTTTACGAATTAACCAAGCAGTCTTAAATTCTGCAAAGTCTTTCAGAATATTTTTCTTCCAGTGGTGACAGGCACAAAGGAAAATGTATGACACAGATCGGTGTTTAAACTTCTGTGACTGGTGCAGAGAAGTTAGAATGTAATCTGTAATTTTTCCATATAGATCTTTCTTGATAATCGTGTACTAACATTATATGATTCATAAGGCTGAGCAGTATTTTGGATTTAAAATAATTTGTTCATGGTCTCAAATAAAAATTGCATACCCCAGATAGCCTTGGGAAATTACATGAGTTAGGAAGAATGTTATGAGGTGCTTTGTCAGATCTTAGAATTGACCCAATAAGATTATGTTACTGGGATTTGCAATCTGATTCCCCTCACCAGTGTCATTCTTAAAGTGTTGTAAAACGATAGCATAGTCTAGTATATTCAAACAGTTCCTACCCAGTTCAGCTACTGCATGCTTACGTTAGACAGCTCTTTGGTTTAACTGTTTCAGTAAAACTAGTAGTTTTATCTCTAAGAGACCCCCAAACAATTAAATATAGAATCACATACATGTAGGGCTGCAAGGGACCTTGAGAGGTCATTTAGTCCAGACCTCTGCACTAAGGCAGGACAAAGTATATGTAGACCATCCCTAACAGGTGTTTGTCTGACCTGTTCTTAAAAAAACCTCCAGCCTCCCTTGGAAGCTTATTTCAGAGCTTCACTATCTTTGTAATTAGAAAGTTTTTCCTAATATCAAACCTAAATCTCCCTTGCTGCACATTAAGCCCATTTCTTCTTTTTCTACCATGGAGAACAACTGAGCACTGTCCTCTTTATAACAGCCCTTAACGTATTTGAAGACTATGATCAGGGCCACACTCAGTCTTCTTTTCTCAGGATTAAACATGTCCAGTTTTTTAACCTTCCTCGTAAGTCATGTTTCCTAAACCTTTTAAAATCATTTTTGTTGCTCTCTTCTAGGCTCCTTCCAATATGTCCATATATTTCTTAAAGTGTGACACCTAGAATTGGATACTGTATTGCAACTGAGGCCTCACCAGTGCTAAGTAGAGAGGGACAGTTACCTCCCATGCCTTACATACGACACTCCTGTTAATACACCCCAGAATGATATTCGCCTTTTTTGCAGCTGCATCACATTGTTGACTCCTATTCAATTTGTGATCCACTATAAACCCCTGATCCTTTTCAGCAGTACTACTGCTTAACCAGTTATTTATTCCCCATTTCATATTTGTGTATTTATTTTTTTCCTTCCTAAGTACAGTGCTTTGCACTTATCTTTATTGTAATGTGTCTTGTTGATTTCATTTGTCCTGCTATGGTAGAAGGACAGGAGACACTGGAGGTGATTTTAATTAGGCTGCAACTTTATTCTTACATATTTGGAAGTACCTGGCAGATAAAATTGTACAGAGTTCCATATACAATTCCATATATTCAGGGGCTGCCATCATCTCTTCCTATTTCCAATCCTGGCCCCATCCATCCTGCAGCTTGGACCCTGCCCCCCTCGTATAAAGGTTATGGTGGGGGCTACAATAAAGGGGAAGTTGACTCCCCACCGTACCAGTCATAGGAGCCCTAAATCCCCTTTCTCTGCTTCTTTAAAGGATTCCTCCTTTAAAACCTTTACCATCCAATTTTATCTGATCACCATATCCATTCCCTATGGAGTACCTGCACTGGACATCTGCCACAAGCTTACATAATGAGTTGTGACATTATAACCCAATTTTCAGCCCTGCCCCTTCCCTATCCCAGCAGGTCCGTAACCAGCTGTGGGGAGGCGAAAAATCCACCTTGCCTCAGCCAATCTGGCAGTCAGGGAAAATTCTTTCCTAGCCCCTCAAGAAACGGGACAACTGGTGTAATGTCCACAATGGATAATTATGAGACCTGATATTTTAACTATTTCCATGGGTTGGAGGGTGAGTTCTGCTATCCTGGTCTGGATTAAAGAAGGCTTTTCTGGCACTACCTTCAGTATAAATATCCCCCCTCTCTTCCAGTCAGCTGGGGCTGGGGGCAGCATCCCCCATTCGCTGATCTGGTCCAGCTGTACTGCTTCCTGCTTCTTTACCTGAAATGGGGAAGGGGGACTTAAAGAGTCAACAACCATCTTCCTACCAGCCTGCGGGACAAAACCTATCCCTGCAGTTAAAGCGGAAAAAACTCACCTTCTCCATCCATCCCGGCAAAGGGCCCCACTACTTGATACACGGTGAGGGTCTTCTCCCACTTGTCGAGGACATTTTGAATTCTTATCCTGTCGTCCAAAGAAAACCAACTCTCCTACCCTACACAGTGTCATCTGTGTATTTTATAAGCATACTTTCCACTCCATTATCAAAGTCATTAATGAAAATGCTTAACAGTATCAGACCCAAAATAGACCCCTGTGGGACCCCAGTGTGATAGCAAACCACTTATAACTACTCTAAGTATGATCTTGTTACTCTTTGAGTATGGCCTAAAATAGTATCACTACTTGGGTGGGGTGGGGCTGAGTCACATGGGAGGGTTACATGCCTTCCCTTTAGCTGGCACCCCTCCACCCCCCTTGTGTTCCTCCCATGAGTTGCTTATGTGCAGAGCACCCATAAGAAATAAACTCTACTGGTGCTGCTGCTACCAACAAAATTATAATGTACGCTCTGTAAATTTCCATGTACTTGGAAGACAAAGAATTTAAGTGCAATGACTAAGTGTTGTTTACTAAGCCTCAGTGAGTCTGGAACGAAAATTTAGTATTGAATCAACAGTTTCTTTACCATAACAGAGTTCTAAGGGATACCCAGACACATACCAGAACTACTTTATTTGCATATTTCTTGCTAAAAGATCGTTGCCCTAATAGGAAAAGACCAATTAAAATATTTTTATGACTTGTTTTCGTTGTTGATTGGCTCCAACATTTATGTTCATAAAATATTCTGATGAAAAAGGGTAATCCTATCCAGAACAGAATGCAGTGTATCCCACTGAGGGCTTGTCTATATAGTGCATTAGTGTGCACCAACTGGATGTAAATTCTACTGCATACCAGCTTGTCATATACTAACTGGCCTGGTAGACCCTGCTGGCATGAACTAAAAGTGTTTTGGTTTTGATTTAACTCCATAACTTGAGATCAGGCCTCAGAGATGAGTCCTACTCAAGGAAGGTTTATGAGTTAAAGATAATATACAGAATCTCTGCCCCTTTAGTTCTCTCTTTACGGCTCAATTTTCATTTACTTTCAGACTTCCTGACCTTGCTTAACTCTTTATTTCATACTAATCAACCTTATGTAGCTTATCCAGAGACCTTCAGCTGAAGATCATTTTGTTTTGCCTAGTGGCCCAGAGCACAGCAAAAAGGCTGCCAAGTTTGTTTTCTGAATGGTTATGAAGCTGTGAAAAGAAACAAGTTTGAAAGTAGGTAAACCATTTTAGGCCAGGCTCGTCCCCACTAAGTACAGTTTCTTAAGCAAAAAGAACTCTGCTCAGTGGTTGACATATGGTGGGCAGATTTGCTATCTGGTTGTCCCTCACAAGCATGCAAGTGGGATCTGCTTGCTCAGTCATCTTCAGGGCTCAGATTGGGCCAGTATACGGCAGCAAGGAGTATCAGCACTTTTGTTATGATCTCTTCAGAATATAAGATTTACTTTTTCAAAATGAAGTCTCTAGCTATTTGGGATGTTGTGGTACATACACTTGGTTCACATTTTTGAGGCTAACTGACGCAGTGACATCAGGCTGCATTTTAGAACCTGAAATGACAGCTCTGAGATATGAACTGTCCAATTCATCTCAATGGGTGTTAACTCAGAGGCCAGAAACCGCCAAGCCTAAGGAGCCTAGATGATCCCCATTAGGTGTTTGAGCCCCGCTGGTGGGGATGCATCATGAGGGAATGCCAACTTCACTGAGAGGAAACCAATCACAAGGAGCTCAGCAGAGACAGTGGGCGTATTCAGACTCCACTGAGGACAAGCTGAGATGAGAGAGCATGTATGACCATATTTTGAACAATCTGCACGCTCTCTTGTGAGTGGTGTCTCATTTTATGGATGGAATTTAGAAGAACATTGCCACTTTTTCTCCCCAACTTGATCCCTTTTTGTCTTTAACCAGAAGTGTGGTTTCAGCATCTGACTAAAGTAAGCCCCCTCTTTTGTACACGCTTGAAGCTATGTCAGCATGATGCAACTGTGCTTTTTAGTAGGATGAGGAAGAGGAGAGACCATATCACAAGGAAAGAAACTGGTAATCTGGTTTTGTTGGCAGGCTTTTCCTCTTCTACTTCCCACCCACTTCTGCTTGTGGAAATGTCTGTAGAAAGTAGGGGAAAGCAGTCTTTATATAAGGCTAAAACCTGATAGTTTTCTTGCATCCTGAATTCTGTTAGATACAGTTGAGAGTCAGAGGAATTTTTT